AAACATCTTTCTGATATTCTCTGCTTTCAGCCAAGATCCATCAAGATATCAGCAATGATATCCCTCGTTCCATGGCCTCATCTGAATACGGCTTGAACCTTCAGTAATTAGACAGAAGCAAATCAAAACAACACTGAGATATTATCTTAACCCAGCATTAATAGCAAAGTCAATAAAAACAGAAAACAACAAATGCTGGTGAGAATGTGGAGAGACTGGATTCCTCCTACTTAGTATATATCCGAAAGAAATACGAGCCCTGACAAGAGTAAATATATTCACAACCATGTTCATCACAGCAATATTCACAATAGCAAAAAGAGGGAGACAACCGAAATGCCCATCACTGGAAGAATGCACACAACGTTGAAGAATGACGATAAATCTGATAAACACTTCATAGTGTGGATGAACCTGGAGGTTGTTTGGCTGAGTGGAATTAGTTAACCACAAAAAGATAAATATTGTAGGAGACCACTATACAGTATTTGTAAAAGCAAAACAAAATAAAAAACCTCAAGAAAAGGTTTTTATGCTAGAAGAAATATTCTTTGATGGTTACTAGGAGTGGGAAGGAAGTAAGAGAAATTCATTGGCTGGGGGTAGACACAAGTTAACTCAGGTGACAGGGAAGGCAATATACAGCGAGAGGGAGGTTGGCAGGAATACGATGAAGACAGGTAAAGACATGAGGCAGGATGCAAGGGTTAAAGGAGATAGGGATAGATACTGTTGTATGTTGTTGTTGTTAAGTGCCGTCGAGTCAGTTCCTACCCATAGCAACCTTGTTTCCAAGGAGCAGCTGCTGAGCTTGAACCACTGACCTTGCAGTTCAAACAGCTTGGCAGTCTGGCACATTAACCCACAGCACCATACCAGGACTCCTCACCCATAAAACAACAGTGTTCTATGGGTAGATACAGACTGAATAGGTTTGGGAGGGAGAGTGGGAGTATATCCACAAATATTTAAAGGTTTGACAAAGGATATTTGCACATTGCTGTTTACCTTTACTACAAACACCCCTATGAATGTGACGGAGCATGTTGTTGTTGTTGTTAAGGACCATCAAGTCAGTTCCGACTTATAGCAATCCTGTATAGGGTTTACCAGGAGTGACTGGTGAGTTTGAACTCCAACCTTGCAATTCAAACTGACCTTGCAGTCCAGGGCTGATCCTATAGTGCCACACCAGGACTCCATGGTGAGGCACACAGGGGACAAAATGATGAAAGCTTTCTGTTGTTAAGTTGGTTCAGACTCATAATGACCCTGCATAGAGTTTCAGGGATGGCGGGTTGGTTTGAACTGCCAACCTTGCAGTTAACAGTCCAATGCTTATCCACAACTCCTTATTGTTGTTGTTGTGTGCTGTAGAGTTGGTTCTGACTCAGCGACCCTGTACAGGGTTTCTGAGGAGTGGCTGGTGAGCCTGAACCGCTGACTTTGTGGTTCAAACGGACTTTGCAGTCCCCCACATTAACCCACAGTGTCACACCAGGACATTACCAAACTACAAGGCGCTGGACCTGGGGGCTCAGGACCATAATCTTAGGGGGCATCATGATCAATTGGCATGACATGGTCCACAAAGACAATGTCCTACATCCTATTTTGCTAAGTAGTGTCTGGGATCTAAAAACTCATGAGCGGCCATGTAAGATGCAACTATTGATATCTTCATGTGCAGAAGAAAGATGAATGATGAAAATTGAAGATGCTTGGAATCAATTAGTCCAATAGACTAATAGAATATGTGAACATCAGTGGCCATGGCTTTGAGACCGGAAGAACTAGATGGTACCTAACTACCACTATCAACTGCTCTGAAAGGGATCCCAGTAGAAGATTCCAGATCGAGTGGGAGACGATGTGTAACAAAACTCAAAGTTATAAAAAAGATCAGACTCATTGGTCAGAAAGAGATGGAGGAACCCAAGATAAGGAGCCACTTCAGATCTGGCATGGAACTCATCCTCATGGCCCAATTTTCAATCAAACTGTGGTTAGGTATCTAGAAGGGACAACAACACTGGTGAGGTGTGCTCAGCACGGAATGATTCAAGGGCAACATTTATCTGGGAACAAGATTCGGAGGGGTTGGGAAGGAGGGTGGAATGGAAATAAAAACCCCAGGGAGGAAGTAGGGTAACTGCTGTTACATGAAAGGGATTGCAATCCTTGAGATGAAACAAAGAACATGAATTGTTGGATGTAAAACTGATGATCTGCTCTGTAAACCTTCTCTCAATTCACAATAAAAAGTTTTCCCCCAAAATGACTCTTTATAAATCATTATTTGAACCTCCTTCATTGTTGGTGGGATTGTAAAATGGTATAGTCACTGTGGAAAACAGTCTGGTGGCTCCTCACAAAGATAAAGGTAGAGTGACTGTATTGTATTGTTGTTGTTAAGTACCATCAAGTCGGTGCCAACTCATAGCGACCTTGTGTAGGGTTTCCGAGGAGCAGCTGGTGGATTTGAACACCGATCTTGTGGTTCACAGTCCAGTGCTGATTCATTGAGCCACACCACGTGACTCAGCAGTTCCACTCCTAGATACAGATCCAAACGACTTGAAATCAGGAATGTCAACAGATGCTTGTATACAAGTGGTCAGTGCAGTGTTATCCACAACAGCCAAAAGGTGGAACAAGCTATGTGTTTATGTGCAGATGAATGGATAAACAAAATGCGGTCTATCCGTATAATGGAGTAGTTGTTAAATACCGTCCAATTGGTTCTGACCCATAGCGACCCTGTGTATAGGGTTTCCAAGGAGCAGCTGGTGAGCTTGAACCACCTACTTTGTGGTTCAAACCAACATTGCAGTCCAGTGCATTAACCCACAGTGCCACACCATGACTCCAATGGAATAGTATTTAACCTTAAGAAGGAATGAGATCCTGACACACGCTATAACATGGATGTACCTTGAAAACATGCCAAGTAAAATCGATAAGTCATAAAAGGGCAGATATCATATGATCCCTCTTATTGAAATATCCAGACTAGATTAAGTGTATACAGTCTTAATTTTATTAGTGGTTACCAGGAGCAGACTGGGGTGTTGGGAGAAGCAGGAGACTCTTGACTTAGGGGACGCTGAGATTCCATAAAGGGTGATGGAAAAGTCTGGATAAAGATAATGGTGATGAATCCAACATGATGAACGGAATCCATGTCATTGACCTTTAGATGTGAAGACTGTTGAAATGGCAAGAGTTCTGTTACATACATACATTTGCCATAATTTACAAAATAATTATTTGATGTTGCAAAATGAAAATGAGTTACTCATCTGCCTATCAAACAGCTGATTTAGACATGTGATTTGGGGGACAAGTCAAGCTGGATTCACATCTGAAGTCTGCCCTTTACCATTTGTGTGACCTTGGCCATCACTTCCCTCTTTAGGCCTCTTTGTCACCATCCCCCTTCCCAGTGACGATTCCGTGAGATATGTGAGACTGTTGATGTGCAGGGAGTGACGGGTGGACTTGATAAATGGTGATTTCACAAAGGGCCAGACTGCAGACAAGTTTCAGGGGGTAGAGGCTGAGGGTGGACCAGAGGAGGCCAGTGGCCCAGTCTTGGAAACGTCAGTCTGGGCCCTGGTGGATGCAGGATGTGGAAACTTGGACAGCCCCCAGGAGGGACAACTCTGGTGCTGGGCCTTCAGTGTCAGACCTGCATGACCGACTAATTGATTGAGTTCTCTCAGTTCCTCAACATCCTACTGAACCCTGGCTCTGCCCAGCTCTGACCAATGAGTCAGAATCCATGTCATTTAGGAGTGATTGGGAAGGGGAGGGGCAGGCTGGGGGAGTGGGTGCAGGGAGGCACTCATCAGGAGCACTTCCTCGGAACAGCCTGGTCACAGTAGCTGGCACAGCTTGCTGCTCAGCAGGGGCTGGGCAGAACTCAGCCTGCCACAGTCTGGGGACGTGCACTCCTGGGGACCAGCCTGCAGAGTGTCTCTTGCATTCAGACTCTTCCAGAATGGCCAATGTAGGTTTGGCTTTGCTTCTGTTTCTACCTGGGGGGTCTCCGGGCTATGCACAGGGTGGGGGGGTGGAGGGGTGGGGCAGGTATCCTGCTATAGGATACCCTCGAGTCTGTCTCCCACTCCAAGCTCCCCATCTTCCCCTGAGTTTAGAGTCTTGACTGAGCTCTGCCCCTGTGCCTCAAGTAAGCCTTCCCCTCTCTGGGGTGCAGTTTCCTCCTAAGACTGTGGGGCACTGGACAAGATACCGCTTTGAGGTTTCTGACCTGGGGTCAGGAGGGCTGAGGCCGAAGTGACAGGAAGCTCAGGTTGCTGTTGCTAAGTGGGTAAATAGCTGCACATGAGAGTCCCAGAAATGGAAGCCTGGCCCAGCAGCACCAATCCTGGACCTGGGGCTGATGTTTGCACTAAGATGGTCTGCAGGAGGATAGGGAGAGAGCCTCCTCCTGTTGGGACCCTGGATGACCAGCCTGTCAAGCTGCGGGCAGCTGAACCTGGGCCAAGCCCTCTCAGGAATTTCTAGGGATGCTTATGAAGGAAAGCATGAACTTAGAGTCTTCAGCATCCTGTGGGCCCAGAGACTCTAATATTTTGAGTTTACTGAGCATGGGGCCAGTTGGGGCCATTGATACAATGTCTGCCAATCCCTACTGTGTCTGAGTCCCCTTGGACCGGCTTTCCCCAGGACCTGCCTTAAACACATCTTCCTATAGGAAGCTTTCTTTGGTTTTGATCCCCTACCAGAGCTGGCTGAGCAATTTCCAAGCACACTGGAGAATTCTCCAAGACCCCCTTCCCAGCCTGCCTCTTAACCAGGCAGTTCAGGGTGTGTCCCAGTGCCAACTGAAGTCACCCTCAGTACTCACTACTCGGGGTTAGTGTGAGATGACCACCTGATTCCCCACAGAGAGAGAGAGAGCCCTGAGTGGTGTCAGGTACAAGAAACCACCTTATCCACTGTCATAGAAGCCGAACCGTGAGGAGGTTGAGAACATGGACTCAGGCCAGACTGCCTTTGTGATCCAGGGCAAGGCCACACTTGGCTTCTTGGTGCTTCTGTTCCCTTACTTAGTTGAGGGGATAGGTGATTTGGGAGGATGATGTGAGCAGTTCCCCACAACCAGTAACTGTATTTGGGCCCTTCCATTGGCCACCTTGAGTTTGAGTTCATGAGTCCTGACCGGTGAGCTCCAATGCCTGGCAGTGTGTCAGGACTCACATAAACATCTGCTTCCTCTAGTAATACTTGGGGAGGACCTACAGTGCCCCTATGTGAACCCAGGCCCTGGAACGGGGGAGATAGAGGCAGATGGGGAGGCTGGGCCCCTAGAGTGGGAGAGAGATTCACATGTCCCTCTGTCCTGTGTTGTAGTGCAGAGACTTCACGGTCCACACGGGATACGAGGTACTGCTGCAGCGGCTGGTGGACGGCAGAAAGATGTGCAAAGACGTGGAGGACCTGCTACGGCAGAGGTGAGCTGCACCCCTGGACCAGCCCAGCAGGACGGAGACTTCCTTCTCGAGTGCTCCCTGCTGCTGTCTGAAACCTGATTGGTTGCTTCGTGCTAGTCTTAGTCCTTGCACCTTTGCGGAATTCACTTTCTAGCTCTAGTGGCTTTCATGTAGATATTTTTGGATTTTCTATATTGAGCAGGGGTGGGGAACCTTTTTTTTTTTCCTGCCAAAATTTTTAGCATCATTCACAGACCATGCAAAATTATCAACTTAAAAATTAGCCTGCTATATTCGGTCAAACATTTAATTAATGTGATGGCTGGAACTGTGGTTGCCTTGGCAGGGACAGATCAAATGATTTCGTGGGCCGGATGTTCCCCACGCCTGAGATAGAGGATCATATCATCTGGAAATAGAAATAGTTTCATTTCTTCTTTTCCATTCTGTTGTTGCTAAGTGTTGTTGAGTCGGTTCTGACTCATAGCGACCCTGTATAGGAGCGGCGAGGTTTGAACCACTGGTCTTTTGGCTCAAACTGACCTTTCAGTTCAGTACATGATCCTGCAGTACCACACCAGGACTCCTCTTCTCCACTTTAGATGTTATTTCTTTTTCTTGGAGTCCTGGTGTGGCCCTGTGGGTTAATGTGCTGGACTGCAAGGTCAGTTTGAACTGAAAGGTTGGTGGTTCAAGCTCATCAGCCACTTCTCAGAAACCTACACAGGGTGGCTATGAGTCAGAACCAATTCTACAGCACTTAACAACAACAAATTTCTTTTTCCTTCCTAACTGCTCTGGTGATAAATTTCAGGACAGTGCTGGACAGCTGTGGGGAGAGCAGGGCCCTTGTCTTCTTTCTAGTCTGTCTCTGTCCGTGGAGTATGATACTCAATATGGGTTTTGGGATTGGCTTTCTCTTTTAGTTTTCACAGTGTTTTTTGTTTGTTTGTTTGTTTTTATCATGGAACAACAAAACAAAACCAGTTGCTGTTGAGTCCACGCTGAGCCATGGTGACACGGTGTGCGTCACAGGACAACTATCCTCCCTCCAGAGGGTTTTTAGGGGCTGCTTTTTCTGAAGCAAACCACCAGGGCTTCCTTCTGAAGTGCTGCTGGGTGGACTCGAACCTTCAGCTTTCCGGTTCAATGTTTACATTACCTAGGAACTCCTGCATCATGAAAGGGTGTTGGATTTGGTTCCGTGAGTCCACCAGTCCCTCAGGAAGTGGCCAAGCCGCCTCCCCTATTCCAGCCAACCTGAAGGGAGTACCTTGCTCTGAAAGTTCAGGGCTCTCACTCTCTCTCTATCTCCAGACCTGAATCTCCCCAAGATTTTGGAGGCCTAATGTGGGCAAATAATTTGACATACTTTCAAATGTTCTTATATCTGGCCAACATACAAGGAAGCTTCAAAGAGTCTGTGGGAAATTTCCATTATGTTTCAATTCCATTTTCCTTTTGAAGCCACTTTGTATATGTAGAGACAGGGCCGGTGGCCCGCAGTGCAAAGCCTGCTCCCGAAGACTGCATGGGTGGCAGCTCGGGTTCTGGCGTGGAGGTCAGAGGTCCCTGCAGTCGGCAGAATTGGGATACTCAGCATCCACACTTGGTTCTTGCAGGGCCCAAGCAGAGGAGCGGTACGGGAAGGAGCTGGTGCAGATTGCCAAAAAGGCAGGCGGCCAGACTGAGATCAAGTAAGAGATCCCTGAGCCCTGGGGATGGGGTAAGGCTTCCTGGTGTAGGGTGGGATGCGGAGGAGTAGGGAGGGTCTGTGAGTGTCAATGCCAGTCACTGTGCTCCCTGCCCAGCTAGCAGGTGGGCTCACTTATACTTTCAGGCAGGAGTGTCAGGACCCTCCTAGGTGGTTGAAGGACAGCATTGTTGGGTAGTAGGCATTCTGGGTGAAGGTCTCTGGGAGTCCGGAGGATCAGACATGGGTGGGGGTAGCAGCCTACAGACTCTTGTCACACAGTAGCCTGGGGGCCTCAAGCTCATCTCGAAGAGTCCTGCAACATGACCCTATACTTCCCTTCCCAGAGCCCCTGCAGCCTGGGCTTAGCTTGGGCTTCAAGCAGAGGAGATGTGGCTGGAGATGGGTGCCAGGTGGGGACATGCCTGGGTCCAAGTCCCAGCTCCTCACCCACCTGCTCAGATTCTCTGTGCTTCCACTTTCTCATCAGTGAGATGAATTTATTCTGAAGGATTAAATGAGTCCTGGGTTCAGGTCAGACCTGGATCAGAGGGGAGAGAATACGAACAGTTACTGTAATACAGCAACTGGGTTCTCTCCACTCTTGGAGTCAGGGTGGGGGCAAGGGAGAGAGGGTGATGGATTTCAGCACAGCTGAAGGAAGAACTTTCTAACAGTGGAGGGAGCAGCTGTCTGGGGAGGACTGAGTCAGGATGAGGGTCAGACAAGGTGCTGGGCCCTGAGTCCCTAAAGGGCTGTGATGAATATTCTCCTCCTGCCTGGTGCTGCACCTCCTCACATGGAGGATAAGCCTGTGACATGCTGACTCTGCCCAAGGGAGATGGCCCCAAAGGCTGGCAGCGCTGAAGCCCAAACTAGCTCTCTCCTTTAGGGAATATACAGCACTCTCTAGTCTGTCCAAAGACCCAGTCTAAGTACTATTTCCTGAGGGAAGCCAGAGAAAACCTAAAATGGATCTGAAATGGTGATGGGATCCGGGGGATTAACGCCCAAAGGGGTCTGTCTGTGTGTTGACCCTGAGTGTACACACCATCCTAGAAGTGAGAAGGCCTGAGCTAGAATCTCTGCTCAGTCTTTGTGAGCTGTGTGATTATGGGCAAGTCGCTTAACCTCTCTGATTCTATTTCTCATTTGTCTAGTTGGTGGACTATTGTGCAGGTAACCAAATGGGCAGCACAGAGGGCTGGATACAGACTGGGCACAGAGGAGTCTCAGGCTATGTTTAAGTGGACGTCTGTCAGGACATGCCTTTGTCTTCCCTAGGGAACTGATGCCTAGGGATCTCTGAACTCACTGGAAATGCCCAGAATGGGAAGGTGCTGGCGTGTGGGGTAGGGGAGCATAAATGAGGAGAAATGCTGCTGGCTTCCAGGCCTCCCAGGCCAGCAGGACAATGAGAACATTCCCAGGAAGAAAGGAGACCCACCTTGTAGGGGAGGATGCAGATAGCAGGGAGAGTAGGAGATGGTGCATCAGGCAGGACTCTGAGGCACACTCAGGGGGCTGTGAGTCACAGGGGACTGAAACAAGGAAGGAGAAATCACCAACAGAGAGAACAAAATGGGGTGTGGGTGCTGGGTAGGCAGTGCAAAGGTGGGAAAATACATAGTATCTTGCCCTGTTTGGGGGAACATGATGAAGTGGGCAGGACACAGCTTTGGACAGCCCTGATGCTCTGCACTGGGGAGGCTGAGGGGGCCAGGGTCTGCCCTGAGTTATATACTGTGTGACCTTGGAGCGGTCACTCCCCCTCTGAGTCCTTGGCTGAGAAAGGTGGCAATCAAAAAGTGTCCCAAGCACACTAGGAATGCTTAATAAACACCAAGGTCTTTATAGTCTTCAATTTCTCCAGACCGCACCCCCTTTATGGGGCCTGAAGAACTGAATGGGCACTTCTTTGGTGTTCAAACCCTGCCTGGCCCACAGCCAAAGGCCCTAAGGAGAATTGCCCATGAAGCTGGAGGCTGGATGTCCCTGGATTGGGTGTGTGTGTGTGTGTGTGTGTGTGTACATCCATTCATGGTGGAACCCAGGGTGGGCAGAGAGCAAAGCCAGGCTTTGCCTTTCTACCTAACCAGGAGGAGCTATAGCCCAGGCTGGGAAAATCAGTGCTCAGCCAAACCGGAAGTAGGAAAGGCAGAAGCAAAACCCTGCAGTGGGCCCCCTGCAGCCCATCTACAGCCATTCACAGATCAGGAGGCGTGGGGCATGAGAAGCTCACCATCAGGCTGGGGTGGCCAGAGGAGCAGGGCAGAGCAGGGCAGAGCTCTTCCTGGGAGGGAGGGAGGGAGGGAGGGAGGGAGGGAGGGAACTCATGCCAGAACCACTGGCCTGAACAGAGGCTCAGAGGTGGGAACGAACTGGACACACCCAGAGCCAGTGAATAGCAAGAATAGTTGGATCTACCCCAGTTCACCTGCTGCCTCCCATAGGGCCATGCTCCATGCAGCTCTAATGCACATAGCAAGTGCTCAATAAGTGTTGCTGTTAATACACATGGTAAGGTCACTCAGTCATTCCATTTGCATTCTCTGTGTACCAAGCATCCATCACCTGTACATATAGTCGCCAAGCCTTTATTGAGTCCTGATGCGGCGCTGTGGGTTAATGCGCTAGACTGCAAAGCTGTTTGAACTGCAGGGCCGGTGGGTCAAGCTCACCAGTTGCTCTTCGGAAACTCTATTCAGGGCTGCTATGGGTTGGAACCGACTTGATGGCACTTAACAACAGCAATATGTACTTTACCCTGGTCTGAATGAGGGCTGAGTCAAGAATTTAAAACAAAACAAAAACTTCATTCTCCTCCCCAGTTCTTGGCATTGGAATGTCTCTTCAGGGATCCCTTGTGCTCACCTCCTCCAGGGAGCCCTCCCAGACAACCCAACCTTGCCTCACTCTCAGGTCCTCCTATCCCACACCAACCTGGAGGGCTCTTTGAGGGAGGTGTGAGTGACAGTCAGGATGACCTGGGTCACTTCCTCATTGCTAAGATTTGTGGGTGTGTGTCTTGGAGTTGCCTACCGCCCCCCGCCCCAGAAAAGGTGATTTACAGAGCCCAGTCCTGGGTGGAGGGATGCCCCAGCACCCTCTTGGCTAGCAGCTAACCCCCTAGATTTTATGGGTGTTCATTCTCAGCTCCTGAAGGGCAGGCAGGAGTTGGGAGGTGGAAAGGCTGAAGCAGGAGCAGATGGGGAAGACAGAAGTCAGAAGAAGTTAAGTGACCCCAGAAACAGCTTAGCGAGCGCGTAAAAGATGCAGCGATTCTGTCATTTCCTGAACCTCAAACCATCTAGGAGGCTTACATGGGCCTGGCAGACATGCCACATTAGTTAAAAGGAGGGTGAGTCCCATCTTCAAATGAGTTTTTGGCACTCAGCATACATCCATTGGGTAATGGGTAAGTAGGGTGCACAAGCAAGAACTGGTCCCCGAGCTCTTGGGATCCCCAAGAGAGCTTTCTTCAGCCTCCTGACCTTTGCCCCCACTGTTACCCTTGCTTGGTTTTCCCCTGCTCAATTTATCCATCCTTGCTGATCTGACTGAAAGGCTGCCTCCCCAGAAAGTTGTCTCTGCCCCTCCTCCCCTAGCTGGGTATGCTCGCCTCCCTCGCCCAGACCCCTCTTCTTCATCCTGCCCCCAGTTGGGTGCTGGAGGTGCCCACATGCTCCAGAGAGCCTGCACAGGGCAGGGGCTCAGGAAGCAGGAATCGAGGAGGGCAGGTTTGGGGCCAACTTCCTATGATTCCCTCTGCAGTTTCCAAGAAGCAGGAACAACAGCTCAAGAGGCCTGCTTCCCTGTCCTTCCCCCCAGCCCTCTATTACAAGCCTAAAGTGCTGTCATTTTCTTGTGAGAAGAGATTATTTTGTCACGGTTCTTCTCCTGAGTTCAGAGAGAATGAAAACATCATTGTGGATGCTGGAGGCAAGACAGGCCAGCTCCACTCCTGTTAGGTACCCTCACCCGGGAGGTGGGCACATCTTGGCTGGCAGGTGGGCAGGGAATAGGAATGCCAAGGCAGGATTTGAGATGGCACACGCCATGTGGTAGGGAGAGTAAGAGGGAGAGATTTATACTGGAATGCTAGGCTATATTTGCGTTCTGAATTTCAGACTGAAATTCCTGGCCCCCTAGTCCAAAAGGGCAATGGGATGGGTTACTTATGAGGGCATTGGTGACTGATAGCAGGAGACACAGGAATGCATGTAGGGCAAGTTGGAGGAACCCAGGAATGACAGAAAGCTAGGAAAAATCATCTTTCTGGATATCACAGGCAGAGACTTCCGATGGGCCCCAAACCCTTCATGAGCTCAGACTTTAACATTGTTCACTTGGGGAGAATCAGCCACCATGGTGGGCTCCGTCTGGTCCTGGGGAAAACAGGGTCCTGCCCTCACCCACAGAGCTGCTGCCACCTCCAAGGTAGTCTGGGGTCTAGGAGGAGAGAGGCCGTGTCTGCGCCCTGCTGTTTGAGTTAAACTGTGCTGGCCTGCAGGTGGCAGCACTGAGAACGATTCTTCCTCAGGCCCCAGCCTCCGTGGGTGCTGCCAGGTAACTGCTCCTCCTAGAGTCTCGGTTTCCCTGTTGTTCCATGAGAGGAAGGAGCCTCCCTGCGGAGATGGCCTTGCCAGGGCTGCCGCTCAGGGCGGCCTGGATGGGTGTCATGAGAAGTTATGAACACCAGGGGGCAGGAGAGCTACTCCACAGAAGAAGGCTTTGGCAGTGTGAGGTCCAGGAAGCGGCCGGTGACTGGGAGACCTCATTGCAGCCTGTGTGTGACCCGGACAAACCTGGCCATGCTCTGGTCTCAGTTCCCTGAACTGTCTTGATTTCCTGCGGCACCTCTGGCATCCTGGTCTGAAGGAGTCACAGCACATTTTATCTCCTAGATTAAGGAATACACAGAGAATTTTACTTTTAGGAGTGAAGGAGCCACACCCTTGGGGGTCAGTCTGCATTAGTTACACGCCCTTTTCTTTGTGCACTTGGAGACTCAGCACCCATGGGCCCACGCTGGGGATGCCAGAGGTCTGGACATCCCTCAGACACATGCCCCTAAACCTGAGTCTACTCCTTATGCCCCCAGGCTGCGGTGAGGAGTGGGAAGGGGGGCCAACATACTTCTTAGGGGATCCCCTTACCTGAGATGGGTTCCAATTGGAGCGTTCCTGATAAAAAGGAGATTTGGCAAGTTCTTAGAGGGCATATTGAGGGGACCCTCAGGGTGTGCACGATAGTAACAGTACTTGTAAACCTTGATGAAGGTTTTTTATACATATAAACTCATTTACTCCTCGCAACCACCTTGTTTATGCTACTATTATCCCCATTTTATAGAAAGAGAAACTGAGACCCAGAGAGCTTAGGAAGCTTGCCCAATGTCACACACAAATTGAGAGGAGGAACCTGAATTAAGCTCATGCCATTTGGCTCTAAGGTCTGCTTCTAAGGCATGTAGGAGTCTAGAGCAGAAAGAAGCCTCTACTCAGATCCTGTTGGTTTCCTAGGCTGAGCTTTCACACTCTCTCCCCTCCCCAAGAGCCAAACTGCAGTGGGGGGGGGGGGCACGGGGGAACAGGTGCTCTCTCCCTGTTTCTGCCCCAGAGACACCTTTGCCTTGTTGCTCATCAGCCTGCACCTTTGCTCAGGCTTGACCTCTGCCTGGGGCTCTGTGGGCGAGCGCCCTCGCACAACTTGGCAGATAAAATGCAGAAAAATAACAAATACTTTTTAGTATATATTCCATATGTTACATGAAGGCACACTCTCTTCCTCCTCCAAGCGAGGTTGATGCCAGCCTCTTCCCTGCTTCCTCCTGAAGCTGACAGTGTCCACATCTCTGTTCCAGATTGGCTCACCTGCTGCCTCCTGTCCCCAAACTCAGTGCACCCTAAAGTAAGCTCATTTGCTTTCCCTTCTGTCCCTCAAACCCACTCCCTTCCTGGCACACCACTCAGCCCCCCAAGACTGAGATGGGGAAGAACTTCTCCCTTTCAGAACCTGTGTATCCTGTCTGTTCCAGCCTTTGCCTCAGCCTGCTAAGTCCCCTCATATCTCTCCCGCCTTGTGCCCTACCCTACTCTACCCTGCCCCCTCCCAACCAATCTCCCAAAGGATCCCCAGATCTCAATACTACCCTCCCCTACTCCAAACTCTGCGGAGGAGTCTGGGAACCAGAAGAGATGGAGTGAGGCTCTGCCTATGGAAGAGAGAGGTTCAAGAGGGAGCGTCTGCAAGACAATCTCACCTTCTCTTAGAATGCAGCTTGGAGCCAGTGGAGCTGTGGGCTTTGATGACATCCTCTTTTCCCACAGGGGGATGTGTGCTTTGCTTTCTAAATCCCATAGAGAGGGCTTGGCCTTCCAGAAAGCACATTTGGAGTTGTACGGATGGTCACTGTCTGGCTAGGGTATCTTTCATTCCGTTCAGAGCAGCATGTGTCATCTGCTGAACACCCCCTCCTCCTCCGCTCAAATCAGTTCCTGAGGTCAACGGACCTTTAGCCCACACTGTGTTGGCCTCCTGCTGACCTGGCTTTTCTGTTTTGCAGCTCCCTGAGGGCCTCCTTTGACTCCCTGAAACAACGTAAGTCCCCGGCTGCCCCCACCCCAGGCTACATGGGGCCAGGCCTTCTGGGAACCCCACCTCCTCCACAGATAGAGGAGGTGAAGGGTGAGCCCAGGTTGCAGCCTAGCTTTGCATCAGGAGAATTTGGGAGGGGGCACAGAAGATGAGCTGTGACGGCTGGGTGGGCCCAGACAGAGCCCATCAGGTCTGACATCTCTGTATCTGCCCAGAAACGGAGAATGTGGGCAGCTCACACATCCAGCTAGCCCTGGCCCTGAGAGAGGAGCTGCGGAGCCTCGAGGAATTCCGGGAGAGGCAGAAGGAACAGAGGAAGAAGGTGAGGGATGCAGCTCCCCATCACTGCTGCCCTTGCAAGATGGGACACACACTTGGGGACTTCAGAAAGTTTGTGGGGAAATGTCTTTATTTTCTAATATCATTTTTAAAGCTCCCTCCAATGTTCACCTCCCAAGCTTCAGGGACCCAGCCCGGAACCACGCCCCTTGAGAGCTTGCAGGCAGGGCACCCACTCTGATTAGTGGTTCTGGTCACAAACATTCAGTGTGACTATATCCCTGCCTGCTCACCAGGCCAGCTGCGGCCTCAGGCTTTCAGGATTCTAAATTTGGATTCCAGAGCAGACAAATGAGTCCCCTAAGCCACTGCCAGACGCCAGCCCAGCTGGCATAGGCAATCCCTGTGAGGTGGGACTTGCCCACAAGCACCTGCCATGACTGGCCTGCTATTTTGAGTTCTCCTGTGGCGAGAAGAGCTGTGATGTCTGCAAAAGCTGTTGAGTGGCCAGGGAGGGCCCTGCAAGCAGACAGCCATGATGTAGTGTGTGGTGAACCTGTGTGTGTGTGTGCAGAGAGTGTGGGCACATCTGTGAGCCCTTGTCTGCTCTGACTTCCTGAGCCTACCCTTCCTTGGCAAGGTGACTTGTTGAGGTCTCCCAGCTGCCTGAGATCCTGGCACAAACCAGCTTCAGTCCCAATTTGAGGGACATTTCATTTCCACATCTCCTCAGGCCTTTCTCACCCAGTCTGTCTCCAGCCTGAGCTTCATCTTCTCCCTGGGAATAGGATGTCTGGGCAGCGAGGTGTGGGGGTGCTCATGAGTACGTTTGGAGCGAGTGTGTCATTTGTTGGGCATGGGTGAGCATTGGGGAGTGGACTTGTGTGTACATGTAGGTGCCTTTGTACATGGGTGAGTGTGAGCAGCTGGGAGTGTGGGGGCTGTCTGTGTGCACTTCAGAGGGTGTGTCAGGGGACTTTGCTCACACACATAGATCAGTGTGTGTGAGCCTCTGCATCTGTTTGTGCATACAGGGGCTGCTGAGGAAGGACTGTGTACGTGTGTGTATTTGTGTAGACTGGATGTTTCCAAGTCCTGCCTAGGGTCTGCAGCAAGGAGGACTTGGTGGGCATCTCTTTCTCGGGGTGGGGGCATCTGGTCCCTCAGAGCGAGGTGGTGCTGCGCCTCCTCTTGGCCTGGGGGAATATCCCAAGGCTACAGCCCCTTGCTCAGAGCCTCGTGTTCCCTACAGTATGAGGCCATCATGGACCGTGTACAGAAGATCAAGCTGTCACTGTACAAGAAGACAATGGAGGTGAGCAAGAAGGTCTTGTGACCTCCCCCACCCACTCAGTCCAAGGCAGTGGTGCTCTGGGTGTGGTCCCCAGAAGTCCTGGGCTGGGTTCTGGGATGGAGTCAGCCTCAGCATCCTGTCCAGCCACAGACACTACAGCCTGCTGGGTGGTTGGGGCCCGAATGGATCATCCAAACCCTGGCCCTGGGAGGCCGATGGGCAGACTGTCCCAGACTGGGGTCTATGATGATTCGGAGGGAGGTCACTGCACAATAAGGGGAAGCTGTGTTTCTTCTGTAAGAGGGACCAGCATGGGCACCATGAGGGTATATGCCATTTTCAGGGACCTGCAGGCAGTTTGCTAAAACGCCACCCCCAAAGAGGTCAGGGCTGTGGGCAGAGAGGCTCTGTTCCCAGTAGGAAGGGGCTTGGGACTGAGACTCCCAGCAGCTCCTACCCCTTCTCCATCTCCTTGCGGAACCCCAGAATCCCCAACCCTGGTGAGGAGGTCCCCACCCCACCCATAGCACCCCAGCAGGGAGAAAGAAGTTGAACTCCTCTGAGGGAGAGGATAGGGCTATGCGGCCCCCCAAGCCTCTCCCTCCACACCCCCAGTCCAAGAAGTCCTATGAGCAGAAGTGTCGGGATGCAGATGACGCAGAACAGGCCTTCGAGCGCATCAGCGCCAACGGTCACCAGAAGCAGATGGAGAAGGTGCGTGGGAGCTGATGGGGACCCTGTAGTGCCACCTGGGGCAGGGGCCGGGCGAGGGCACTACACACAGCCCCAGACAAGGACTGCTTCTGGGGCCTGCTGGCTTCTTACCCATTTGCCCACACCTTCTCTGGGCCTCAGTCTCCCCATCTGTGGAATGGGGTGCCGAGAATCTCAGGGCATGGACCCCATCTCCAGCCTGTACCCAGGCCTCAATCCTCAGAGCAGACTCATTGTGGCCCAGGCCTGTGCTCACAGGGCAGAAGGCAGAAGCTACAGCAACCCCAGCCCACCTCTCCAATCCCACCTGCTATCTCACTGAACCTCATACAACCCTTGGAGAGGGGCTCAGTAGGCACGTGTCACAGAGAGGAAACTGAGGCCCACAGACAGTAGGCAACTTGCCCAAGGTCTTGGAGCCAGGATAGAGCAGATAGGGTCCAAACCCAGCCCCCACTTGAGTGTTCTGACTTCCAGGCCATTCTAGGGATAGCCTCCCTTGATTCAGGCTGGGTGGGGGTGTCAGACCCACAGAGCCCAAGAACACATGTTGCCCATTGTACAGACAGGCAAGCTGAGGCCCAGAGATGGCAGGGGCCTGAGGGTGAGTTGGAGCACAATGGATTCAGCCACGTGGAACCACAAGGTCTAGCCTCTGGTCTACATTTCTCACTGTAGGTCTTGACATCTAGTTAGAATCTGTTCTCTTCATGGGCTGCAGGTTTCTGTCTTATACCTTTCTATTGGAAACAACCTGGGTTCCTTCATGAGGTGCAGCTAGCCATAAATCATGGAATCTGAGTGTTTCCTGGGAGGTTGGAGAGGGAATGGCAGAGCCTCAGGGCTCTGGACTGGGCTGGGTGGGTTCTGGTTCCTTCCCTGCAGACTCAGCGCTGCTTCTGTGTCTCCTCAGAGCCAGAACAAAGCCAAGCAGTGCAAGGACTCAGCCACTGAGGCAGGTATGTGAGCCCTGCCTGCCTTCTCTGTCCCACCATACTCTTCCTAGTCCTGGGGACACCGACATTCACACCCAACTACACAATCCCGTGCATGTCACACTCTTTCTGTATTTCTGCAATACAAACGTGTTCTCTCATTAGCCAAGACCATTCTCAGAGCTTTACATATTTTATGTAAATGGTCCTTTAAGGTAGGTGGTATTTTTATCTCCCATTTTTTAACAGATGAGGAACAGAGTGGTAAAGTAATTTGCTCAAGGTCACACAGCCAATTATATATATCACACACACACACACACACAAACTTGTACACACACAGCTTTCTCTGGGCTTCAGTCTCCTCTATCCTTCACCTGATGCCAGAATCCCCCAGCACCCCTTTTCCCTGTTGGCACACCTCCTTCTCCCTTCCTCTAGAAAGGCTCTCCTTGCTACTCTTTCTCTCCCAGGACTCAGCTACTCCCCAGATCTGGGGATGGGGGTCATGCACCAAGCCTGCTCACCTCCCAGCCTTGTCTCGATGGGCCTCCTGCAAGGCACCGCTGCCCTCTCTAAGCCTCCGTTTGCCATCTAAAAGATGAGGGAGTGGGTTCTGGGGGTGGTGAGAGGGGCCTGGACTCTGAATGTGAATCCAGCACCCCACTTCAGCTGTTGGCAGCTCAGAGCAGAGCGGGGCAGCAGAGGCTCTCTGTAAAGAGGAAGACCAGAGGGCAGCCCCGACCTCACTCAGATAAGGCACCACTCAGGGTCAGGGAAGGCCTCGCAGGGCAGTGGGGCCTCTGGGAGTTGAGAGGCGTGGAGGAGCTTGTGTTTGGGATAGGGGGTGTCTCAGCCACTCCACCTCCCTAAGGGCTGCCTGTGCTTCCAGATCGGGTGTACAGACAGAACATTGAACAGCTGGAGAAGGTGCAGGGTGAGTGGGAGCAGGAGCACCGGACCACCTGCGAGGTGAGTTACCACATTCCGGAGCCTCAGTTTCCCTAGCTGCAAAATGGGAGAGAGTCTACCCTGGTGGTAGCCGCTTGGTGGGGGACACATGAGGCAGGTGGGGAAAGGCATCTTTTGGTCACTCTCTCGTTCTCCATCCATCCACTCGCCTGTCACATTCAGGTGCACCTTGTCCTCACCAGGCCCTGTACTAGGTCCCTATCCCCATGCTGTTCACGGCCTGGCTGTGTGACAGGCCCTGTCAGACAGACGTGCAAGTTCTCACTCCTTTTTGCTGAGACGGGAGACTCAGACAAAACTTTTAGTGTCCTTGGGCCCCTGCCGATGGGATAGGCCTCAGGACTTCGGGTTGAGTGTTCCCCTTTCTACTCCCTAGGCCTTTTCCAGTGTGTGGTGGGGCTTGGAGTAAGGGCGAGGGCAGGAATCTAACAGGAAGTGCAACGTCCCTTCCCAGAAGCCTCGGGGTTGGCATGGAGTTGAAGGGGGGTTTATCAGTAAAACTACTGTCACTGAGCCAATTCTAACTCATAGGGGCCGTATAGGACACAGTGGAAATGCTGGAGCAGAAAGCCTCATCTTTTCCACCAGCAGCTCGTGGGTTTGAACTGCCGACCTTGTGGTTAGCAGCCCAATGATAAGGGAGGGTCTCCATTTCAGCAGAGGGGGCTGGTCAGTCCTAGCTGAGCTGTGGGTGGGGCCCAGCTCACCTTCCACATCCTCTTCCCCTTCAGGCCTTCCAGCTGCAGGAGTTCGACCGGCTGACCATCCTACGCAACTCCCTGTGGGTACACTGCAACCAGCTGTCCATGCAGTGTGTCAAGGACGACGAGGTGGGGGCCAGGGTAGGGAGAGGGCCACAGCGAGGTCAGCCTCATCTGAGTCAGTCAGCAGGCACCCGCCGTCCGTGGTCGGACCCTGATCCTGGGGCTCTGACCATAGCTGCTCACCCTTTGCTCCCACAGGCTTCTCTGCTTTGAAGACTGTTGTTCTTTGTACCCCACCCCCAGGCTCCTGGCTCTGTCCTTGGTGCTCCCCAGGGAGCAGGCAGGGGTGACATTGACCCAGCCCCTCAGAGGTCTACAGACAGACTGGAGGACCCGTCTCTGCTTGGTCCCCAGACATCTCCAGGGTGTCCTGGTTCCCCTGACTGGACCCAATATAATGACTAGTGTGGGCCATGTCCTCCCCATCAGAGAGGGGCTACTGCCACATCCAACTCCCACCTCCCCTCCCCTATGAGGGTCCCAGACCTCTGTTAACGCAGCCCCAGAGCTGAGTAGGGCAGCCCGGACTCCCTGAAGCCCACTGTTCTTCCTTGGCTGACTCCTCCTGCCCATGAACAGCATGGGCTCTGAGCGCCTTCATTGTTGTTGTTGGTAGGTGCCATCGAGTCGATACTGACTCATAGCAACCGTATGCACAACAGAATGAAACACTGCCCAGTCCTCCAGTCCTTCATATTGGGATTCAATACCCTGATGCATTGCATTCCTGCTTTGTGACCTTGGGCAAGTCACTTTCCTTCTCTGAGCTTCCTCACCTGTAAAATGGGGAAATCATGTCTACCTCAGAGAATAGGCAAGTCTCTCACACATAATGGTGTTCAGAGAGCAGGAGAGACTCAGCTATCAGCCAGGGCACTGGCCCTTCAGGCAGGTCTCTGAACACAGGTGCTAAGCTAAAGGACGCCGGTAGAGTGGATTTCAGACCCATGAAGGGCAGGGCCTCAGCCTAGGGGGCATCGAGATGAGACCTGGCTGACCCACAGTCTCCCTCCTCTCCCCTCTCAGCTCTACGAGGAGGTACGGCTGACCCTGGAAGGCTGCAGCGTGGATACCGACATCAATGGCTTCATCCAGGCCAAGAGCACGGGCACCGAGCCCCCGGGTGAGGCTCGCTGTCTTCAGAACACCTGACCCTGGGTTCTCCGAGTCTTAAGTACAGGACAGGGCTAGGGTGGCTCACAGCTTCCTCTGTCTGCAGGAGCCTTGGCCAGACCAGGGCTAGGGGCTGGGGACAAGACAGTGGACAAGCAGAGCTGAAGAACACTCTAAGGCCCAGAAGGGGGGAGGTAAGGATGAGGGTTAGAGACGAGGAACCTCCTCAGAGCCCATTTGTTGCCCAGGTGTGTTGCATACCTCTTCTAGGTTCTGGGGCCCATGAATGGTGGTTCAGCCTCAGGACTTACACACTCTCCTGTTCAGGCCTTGGGCATCGATGACCACAGCTCCTTAGCCTGCTCAGGGAGCCTCTAAGGGGGCCTCACCCCAGCCTGTATTATGCTGATCAACTCCTACTTCATCAATTGTTTCCACTAAATTATAAGTCCAGAAAATTCAGTTTTGGTGGGTACCCACCCACCCACAGCAGGGTCTCTCATGGAACCCCCAGGTGCCAGATTGGACCAGCACCAGACTGGAAAATGGGGCACCAGCCTAGATCTCTTGGTCGAGCCAGGTTGGGGTGTTGGATGGCACAAGGTGTTGCTTGCCCTGCCCTCTGCCGCCTGGGCCTCACAGGCTTGCTGTCCACAGCCCCGGTGCCCTATGTGAACTACTATGATCGGGAGCTCACCCCGTCCGGCAGCCCAGGCGTACAGTCATCCTGCGGCATGATAAAGAGGTGAGCATCCACTGGCAGCACACAGAGGCTGGGCCATGGAGGAGAGGGTCAGGAAGTGGGTCCCATCTCTCCCCCTGCAGCAGCTCATCCCACACATACAAGGGGACTTCAAAACATTCATAGAAAATGGAATGAAAAAGATTATGGAATTTTCCCATGAACTTTTTGCTGCCCCTTTGTATTTACTGAGTATCTAGAAAGATGAGGCTTTCTGCTTCGGTAAAGATTTATAGCCTCGGAAATCCTATGTAGGGTCGCTGGACTCCATGGCACATAACCACCACCACCACTTCATGCCTGGTGCAGTGTTTATGTGCTGGGCACTCTGTGGGGACAAACCCAAACCAAATACACAGCAATGGTTGTGTTGGTTCTTATATAAGGGATTCCAAGACTGTAAAGCTTTACGGGTGGGAGCAGACAGCCCCATTTTTCTCCCAAGTGGCTGATGACTTTGAACCACCCACCTTGTGGTTAGCAGCCCACTTAGCTCAAAGCAGTCTTGTGGAGCCTTGGGTCAAGTGACCCAGACATTTAATAGATCATCCCACCCCAGTTGTTTACTGGCAACTGAATTCAGAGCTCTGGGCCACTTCTCCTAGCCCGTGGGCCTTGCTCCTAGTCCTTGGTGCCCTGGACTCTCAGGCTGTGGTGGCTGTGATCCGCAGCTGGCATGGGATCTGGACCACAAAATTCTCCAGACTTTTCCAGGACCCCTCTCTGCCTGGCTATGGGCAGGGAGCAGGGTCCTAGTGCCATGCTTCCATTGGTTGGGCAGGTGTGTTGCACACCCTTTCTAGGTCCTGGGGTCCACGAGTGGTGGGTCAGGACCTAAGCGCTTTCCTGCATCAGGCCTTGGGTGTTGATAGTGACAGTTCCTTAGTCTGCTCAGGGAGACTTGCACTGTCTGTGGGCATCTATGAGCACGTGTGGGTTTCGTGTGGACCTGTGTCCCTGTTCTCAACGCCCCCATGACCTCTTCTCTCCTGCCAACCTCAGCCAAGAGGCAGCAGTTGGGAACAGACCCTGCCTTTGGGCAGAGGGACATAGTGAGAAGAGGGTTTACGGAAGGAAGGAAGCAGAGGCCCATGGGAATCATCCGCACTCAGAGCAGGGTGCACAGAACACCCTTTTGAAGATCTCATGAAAGTGATAATCCCAGGACCTAGAGCACAGGTGGTCATTGAAGAAATCAGGTGCAAGAGATCACCAAGGAAGGACAGAAAAGGGCGCCTCTGGGAATAAAGGAAGCGGTCCCAGAGAATGGTGGGAGACTGCATTTGAGCATGAACACTGCAGGGGGCCGTCGGCGGCTATTGGATGGCGTAGGGGCAGGGAATAGTGACTGAGAAGTCAGAGCCGGCTTCCACAGTGAAGAACACTCTGGGGAGACAGAGCAGGTAGGAAGGATGAATGTAGAGCCCTGGACTGTGGGGGAGGCAATAAACACAGACTGTGCCCCCCACCTCGCACTGACTGCTCTCCTTCTCCCTCCTCCAGCCCTGTACCTGCCCCTACCTACCTTCAAAGCCCCTGAGGACAGAACCTGAGGAGACAGAGGATTCCAAAGTGGAGGGGTGGGTGGCAGTTGGGTTGAATTTGCTCACCCTGGCTGCTCCCACCCTAGGGCATCCAGATATCATGGGTTCTTTTGTCTAGGAATCCTCACTCTCAGATGGGCCAAGGCGAAAAAGGCCCTTCAAGTCTCTCATCTCATTTTGGGTTCTTGACAGGGCAGCCTCCTACAGGCTGAGTTACTTACTGTCCAGCCCCTCACCTGGACACTCAGTCATGTCTCCCACACACCCCAGGCTGACCTGTTCCACTTTCCAAACGCTACTCTCCCATTCACGGGCAACACCAGCCTCCAAGCTTTGCCTGTTCAACACTTACCTTTGATGATTGAGTCCCATCTCCTCTGGCCTTTGATGATTGAGTCCCATCTCCTCCGGGAAGTCTTCCCAGGCAGGGACATAGTTCCAGCCTCTTTCTATGCCGCCCTTAAGCATACGCTGCTTTGCGAGGTGCCCATGTCTGCCTCCCCACGACATGTCTTCCTCATGTTTTCCTTTATTCAACAAACTTTCATGACCCTGGCTCAGTCCAGACCAGAGCCAATTGCAGGGACATGGGTGAGTAAGTCTCCAGAAACTCACAAGGGGCACCGAGGACCGCCTTTGGCAAGGTCAGGACCAGTGACCAGATGACTCAGACTCTGTGGGGCTTCAAGGAGAATGACTGGTTCAGACCAGACCAGTGAACGGCCTCATAGCATGGGGCAAGGCTCCACAGGCATGGGCCAAGTTTAGAAGGGCAGTCCATTTACTGGAAGGTAGGCTATTAGGGGTTTGATGAGTGTGGACACCTGGGCATTACCCTGAGGTTTCAGATTGGAGGTCCCTGCCCATCATCCCCCTCCCCAGGCCTGGCATGGAGCAGGTGCTGAGGACAGGCCTATGGCATGAAGGGATGGGAGGGGTGCTACTAGGAAGGGGGAGGCACACTGAGACCATCCTTTGAGAAGCCTTCATGCCCGTTATTGTTGTTGTGAAGTGTGGTCAGTTGGTTCTGACTCGTAGCCACCCTGTAGAGGCTTTCTGAGGAGAGGCTGGTGAGTTTGAACTGCCCATAAATCACCTTGGTGCCTGAGCACAAGAGAGCCCTAAGATGATGAGGAGGCTCCCTGCCTAGCTCCTGTCCCTTCCAGGACCCACCCTCTTTCTTCCTACCCCCAGGTTCTCGGGTTTGCTGCATGGAAGTCCCAAGACAGCAGCTCCTGCTGGTAACAAGGATAATGTGGGGGCTCAACCGTGACCCCGGGGCGGGGGGAGGTGATGACTTCTACACAGATAAGGCCACTGAGGCCCCAAAGGGGGAATATGTGCCTTCCAACCCCGGGCAGAGAAGGGAATGGGAGAAGACTGAGAAACTACTGACAGGGATCGAGGTGTGGGGTATGGGTCTAGACCTTGTCCTACTCTTAGCTTCCACAGAGACCCTGTCCTCCATCTCTGAGAAGAAAGAGATCATCTATGCTGACGTTGTAGTGCAGGATACGCCAGGACCCCCGACCCTGCCAGCTCAGGAATACAGGGCGCTCTACAACTACACAGCACAGGTGAGCCCCTAGGATGAGTGTTTCTCCAAGAGAATGACGTGTGTGCACATGGGAGCCTGGGTCTGTGTGCACCTGCGAATGTGCCTGGGGTGAGTGCACGTAACAACACAGCCAGCACTTAGCAGGGAGTGGTGAGGCTCTGCTAAGAGCTGATAAAGTGCTTCTGTAAGCATACGCAACTGAAATTGTGCGTGAGCATGCGCATATCGGGTAAGGAGACTGGCTGTGCTTGGGCTCCCCTGAGGATCCCAGAACCTTGCTCATGACTTTGAGTCCTTCTGCTGTGCTGCTGTTGATCTTCTGAAGTCCCCGGGGAAAGGATAGGCCAGAGTAGACTCCCGGAGAGTTCCATCTGCCACTTACTGAGGGTGGGTGGTGTGTGTGTGTGTGTATGGCCTGAGGCCAAGCAGCTCCACAGGGTGAGGTGGGCTGGGCAGGGGGGCTACAGTAGCAGATGCTGAAGCTCCTATCCCATGTTAGCAAAACCCAAACCCCAGCTGGGGAGACAGGTCAAGAACAAATGATAAGGAAGCTCTGGGAAGACTTTTGGGGAGACACAGGCAATGGAGACCTCAGTGAGGGATTTGTATGATGGGGAGCTTTGGGATGAGGCATGGTAAACACACCTTACCCGACTGGCTGTAGTCACTGTGCACCTGGAGCTGAGTGTTGGAGAAGGGAGCAGCAGGGAGGTGATGAGGAAAGCAGGCCAGGTTGTACAAGGTCTACAGTGCCAAATTCCATGGGGTGTCCATAGCCTATGTCCCCGAGGAACTGGCCCAGCTCAGCCCAGCTGTCTCTCAGAAGGCCCCTCCGACCTGTGTGTGCTCTGAATCTCTGCACAGAATCCCGATGAGCTGGACATCTCCACAGGGGACATCCTGGAGGTCATCCAGGAAGGGGAGGATGGCTGGTGGACAGTAGAACGGAATGGGCAGCGTGGCTTCGTCCCCGGCTCCTACTTGGAGAAGCTCTGAAGAAAGGCAGGAGCCTCCACCTGGACCTCCCCTGAACATGGTGCCCCCACAGCTGCTGGGGTCTTGCTTCATCCCTAGAACTGAACCTGCTGGCCCCTGGGGGCAGATGCTGGCTACTCCTTCCGGAGTCTCGCCCATAGGGAATAAAAAAGTGCCTTCTGTTTTTTCTTGACCCTTGTCTTTCTCCTGCCCTAGTGCCCAGATTTGAGGGGAAAGGAATGAGGGGAGACATCTTTGAGAGCAGACACAGAGGGCTCTCACTGCCAGCACAGCAGGCCAGAAGCCCACCCTAACTGACCCCCTTCCTGCCTGGGAGCTGTAGGGAGCAGCAGGGCCAGGGGAGGGGCTGGAGGGACACATTGGCTCTCCTCAGTTGGCCATGTCCTAACTGAAGAAATCATTTGTTGAAAGGTCTCATTCATGAACCTCTCTGTGGGCACAGCTCTGTGCTAGGCCAGTGAAGACACCGTGAGCAAAGTCTCAGTCTCTTGCTCTATTTCCAGAGCTCTCAACCTGGTTGAGGGGAGCAGACAGGCCGGAAAATTCAACAGTACAGACAATACCCCAGTGTGCAGAGCACGCACAAAGGCTTCAAGAACAGGTGACCCTGGACCAGGGGGACGCTGTGCCCAGACAGGAAAATCCACTGACTCCTTCCTGCCTTTCGCAGCTCCATAGTTAGCATGTATACAAACAGAAGTGTAATGAGGGTCATCACTGGGATTCCCCAAAATTCAGAAGCAGAAGAGACTGTAAGAGAAGCTGGAACCCTGGTGTGGCACTGTAGGATAAGCACTGGACTGCCAACTGCAAAGTCGGCAGTTCAAACCCATCAGTCACTCCTCAGACACCCTAAACAGGGTCGCTATGAGACAGAACTAACTCAATGGCACTTACCAATATGAGAGAATCGAATTCAACTTCCTATGTGATGCACTCATGGGAAACTGAGCCCTGGGCCCCCCAGTCTGCTTTGCTATCTCTGGTGATAGGGAACTCGTCACAGCCTTACGAGCCCTGCTTTGGACTTGTGGTTTCTCCCACTGGTCATGGTCCTACCTGGCCATCTGCCCACCCGACAACCAGAATGTGAAGAACTCTTCCATGTGCCATGGCAAATATCAGATGCCAGAGGTAGGAAAAATGAGATTTTGATCAAGCTCTGTCCTAGGGAGAAGGCAAGAAAGGGGCCAGAATGATCTCTCCAGTCAAAAGGGGGTGCTCCAGTGTTTGATGTGCATGCCCATCTTGAACAAAAAAGTGGGTTTGGCTCAGTCAATTGTCTGGTTTGTGGGCTCTCTCCCATCTGTAGGATGCTTGTCTACCAGGGGATGCAGTTGAAAGGGTTGTTTCATGCCAGTGTTATTCTTGCATGCTGGCACCAAGGCCAGGTGCAAAGGTGGTCACCTTAGAAGTGGGGGTAGGGCAGGTATGGGGGGCGGTGTAGGTTCCAGAGATGAGGGTGCTGCTGACCGCCTGCTGAGTGTCACTCCTTCCCATGAGGTGTGTGTGTGTGGAAGAGTGGGAAGGGAGGAGGTGGGAGTGACAATGGGCTGAACTTGGAAAGAGGTGGTGGAGGGGTATCAGCAAGGACTCCACAGTGAGGCAGCCTTGAGGCAGGAGCTTGCAAGATGCAGCTGAGGAGGGCAGAGCCAGCTAAACAGGACAGCCAAGTTGACTGACCACTGGGTCAGGTTCTGTGTGGGGAGCGGTGGGAAAGAAAAGAGTAGAGAGCGAGGTATCAATGCTTTATTTATTCCTTGAAAATACTTGTCAACTTGATGGAGCATTCCATTCCACTGCAAAGCCTTTTTTTTAAACCTTTGGCCTAGATATTTATCATCATCTCTGACAGGTGCTGCAGTTTCTATGGCCCCAGAGGACGATGGGTAACGAGTGTTAGATAACAAAGTCTATGCTGCAGTCAGGCAGCAAGTCCTGGGTCACAATGTAGACCAAACAACAAACACAGCACAGAGCCGTGGATCTGAGTCTGCTGCTCAGCGTTCTCTGCTCTCCGGTGCACCAGGCCAAAATCTCTGCTGCTGGGAACCAACAGCATGAACGATTACTTTCAGAGGAAATGGGTAACGAGGGACTTGGTGCATGTGAAGCTGGGTATATAAATATCTGCAGCCCTCTTCCTTAACAGTGGGTCACTCAAGACAGCACGGGGCAGCAGGGGGAAAGCCTGCCTCTGAAAGCAGACCACCAGGGCCAATTACAATTTCTCTGGGCTTCAGTTTCATCATCAGGAAGACGGGCACAATAAATCTTGGCGCAACTTACTCTCTGGGTAAGGTTCAAATTAGATAATGGTATGTGCTGATGAAAAGCAAGGGGTCACTTTTAATAAAAAGGCCCTCTCCCTCTGGATATTGGCTATAACCCACAGCAGAGCTGTTGTTCTGCTGGCAAGTACTTCCCAATGGGGACAAGAAGCCAGCCACCATCTGGCCAGACAGGATTCACGCAGCACAGGTGTCCAATATCTAATTCTGACCGCCCTCCTGCAGCAATTCCTAGGCCAAGCCACCTCCCACAGGTGCTCATCTATTTGGCTTGGTGTGGCTGCAATTGGAGATGCCTATCTACTTCCCCATGCTGGTGTGTGAAACGGAAGCACAAGGCCAGAACAATGTGGCCACCAGCAAGTAGGCTTGATGCCCCGTGCATACTGATAGGCACATCAGGACCATGAGACATGCTTCCAAACTGTGCCCAGCAGAGCCCCCTTAAGAGTTTCACGTTCTACTTGTAGAGTTTATATATTAGACCAGTGTGGGTTTTCAACTTTGACCACTCAGTGGAATCACCTGAGAGAATGTTTGTTGTTAAGTACTGGTGTTTTGATCTCACCTTAGGCAAACTCAAACAGTAGCTCTGAAACACAGCCTGAGCATAAATATATCAAACACTTGCCTGGTGACTCTAATGTGCAGCGAGGATTAAGAACCTCTTGGCTAATGGATTCTTCAGTTGAGAAGTTTGAGAAACATATTCTTCGGGACCCTCAGTGACTTGTTCCTAGGCCTCCTATGTGTCAGTGCTGGAGAAGCAAGGATGGACAAGTGTCTTTCCTGTCCTGTTACAATTTCACATCTGTTTACTATCTTCCGTGGGAAATTAACATCTGTAGATGATTCAATTTCCCCACAACTAGTAAAGAGCTCAGCAGTGTCCACACAGGGGTTCAGTAAGGAAATCTTAGGGAGCTTCTGCAAGGTCACAGTAAAACACCCCCAGGAGACCTCCAGGACACTAGCAAGAAAGAACCACATAGAACCTCAAGGATGCCAGATACAATGTCAGCACACCTGAAGAGTTCAGTGCTCATACACACTGACAATAACCAGTTAGGAAACATACCAAGAAAATTACTCCATTCACAATAGCAACAGATACTACATTTCCTAGAAAAGTGTTTCCCAAGTACATGTAACTCTTAAAATCCTTAAGAAAGAAAAACAACACTCTAATATATACTTGGCAGACAGCAGAAGTTGGAAATTCAGCAGAGATATAAATGGCTGAAACACCTTTAAAAACAAATAGGTTAGCTAAAAATCAAATACATATTTTCATTTGTCAGACTGGGAGGGGTAAAGGTTGGCAATACCCGAAGTGTCCGGAAGGGTGTAGGCAAACGTTGTTTTCATACACTGTTAGGGGGAGTAGAAACTGGTAACATCTTTCTGGCAGACCCCTGAACCAGTCTATGCAAAGGCGTTAAGGTGACTCTTGATCCTGAGTAAAATTTACTACCAAGGCTCTATCCTTGAGTTCATGCAAAAATGTTACTCTGTTCGTGGAACAGAACCACTGTGTCCCCGCAGTGAGTCAGTAAGTAGCCCAGATACCTACTCACTGTAGCCACTGTAGGTTGGTTAATCATGACACTAATACATCCTTGCAGCTAACAAAAGGAACGGCACCGATTCTACAGTCAGACACAGAAAGAGCACCACATACCATGTTGTGAAGAGAAAAGAAGAACTTAAGCAAGGGCAAATCCTAGAAAACTGAAAAGTAAAACCAAAACTCACCAGGTCAGTTTTTGCACACGCATATTGTCTAGAAGGATAACACACTACTGGGAAACTCACCTGTGGCACCCTTTTCTTTATATGTTACTGTATGATTTACATTTCTTAGAACATTAGGATGTTAACATTTAAAAAAAAAATAACAAAACACAAAGATGATAATGAATTTCAAAAAAGTCTGTCAACTGTGAAGGAGACTTGGTGGAGCCATTGGTTAAACATCAGGCTGCTAACCAAAAGGTTGTTGGTTCAAACTTATCAGCTAGCTGTTCCATGAGAGAAAGATGAGGCTGTCTGCTTCCATAAAGATTTAGTCCCTGAAACTCTAAGGGGAGTTCTACTCTGCCCTACAGGGTCACTGTCAGAACGGACTCCGTGGCAGTGGGTTTGGGGGGTCTGGCTATCACACTGTTAGGACAAGAAGCAAAGACATCCAAGCAGCAGTGGGTGGGTGGGTGTGCCAAGAGCCAGGACCAGGTGGGGGGCCAGGTGGCTACCACACGAGGTTAATGCACTATGCTGTTTCTGTGATTATCAAAATACCACCCAAACTGTCACTGCATGTTTCAGAGACACAAGGGGCAACTTGCGGGGGGGTTGGGGGGGGGAGGAAATCCAAGTGATGAAATCTGGAGCTATCTGAAAAGCCACCCTCCCGCCTCCAATTGGAAAATAACTCTATCAGTCCATAATTAATATAAGGGCATAAAAGAGAAATGGATCTAGGGAGAAGAGGGGTTAGCTGAATAATGAATGAGAAGCACTGGTCTGGAAAAACATGCTTGCAATTATCTTAACAAAACAATCAAGCCAGAATCAGCAGTATTTGCCACATTGGAGACGGATGGCAGCAGTGGAGGTGGATGAAGAGCAGATATTTGTGGTCTTGAAAGTTCTCTCCAGAGACTGCTTATTGGAAAGAGATAAGTCAACCACCCCACAGAACCCACTCAATGGCACTTAGCGCCACCACAGTGGAGAAAGTGGAAGAGACCCTGACCAAATTTATCCTTCCAGGTCACACTGCAAATGACATTCTTTGCTTGATGGCCAACAGAAGGGGAACGTGAGGCCAGAGGCTTCTTAATTTGAAACCTGTGGTACCGCACAGGTTTCACTAGAGAAGTGGTTCTTTGTTCTGGCTTGGTGATGGGCACCGACCAGCAGGTTTAGTCTTCCCTACACAGCCGACTGCATGTTCCTGAGGTGGCCACATCTCCTCCCTAGAGCTCCTGAGTTCCTTTCTGCTCACTCTTCCCTTGGCCCGAGAGCTGGAAGCTGTGTCCTGCACCTTGTTGTTTAGTGCCGTGGAGTCAGTTCTGACTCATAGTAACCCTGTATAGGGTTTCCAAGAAGCGACTGGTAGGTTTGAACTGCCAACCTTGCCTTGGAGCTCTCTTTTTGACCCCTGAGTAGATAACCGCCTTTTCTCTAAACAGTAATTTTATTGAAATTCTCCTATTCAAATGGTCTCCTCCCTGGACCCTAAAACATACACCAGGTGACCAAAATGAACATCACCTAGAGGCAGACGGGCAGCATGTGACTCCAGATGCAGTGCCCTTAGAGGACACAACATTCTAGCCACCTGAGTGTAAACCCGGAATCAAATCAAAAGGAACATCCAATAAACCCCAAACCAGCAGCACCATTTAAATAAAGGAGCCAAAAATCTGGTGGTTTAACCCAGAGGTGCCTCAAAACACAAGCAGGCTGATCTCCTTCCCCAAAACCAGTCAATAAAAACCCTACAGAGCTCCAGATTAAAGGAGACCAGAGACATGAAATCTAGACTCTGGCATAAAATATTATAAAGGACACAAGTCAACTGGGATATATGAATGGTCAATTAGATAAAAGTATTAGTGGTAAGTGTACTGAATTTGACACCTATACTGTAAAGACCTGGTGTGGTGTCATAGGATCAGCACTGGACTGTTAAACACAAGGTTGGCAGTTCAAACTCAGCAGTCGCTCCTTGAGAACTTTCTACAGGGTTGTGACAAGTCAGAACTGACTCGATGGCACTGTAGTGTTTCACAAATGCCTTTATTCGTAGAAAACTCCCACTAAAGTATTAGGAATACATGTACAGAGTGCACAAGCAAAGACATATAATAGATCAAATGGGAAAGAACGTTAAAAGGGGGATCTGAGTACAGGATGTTCAGGTCTTAGAAGTTCGATTGTTATTCTTGCAAATTTTCTCTAAGTTTGAGAAAGTTGATTTTTTTAAAAAAGGCAACACGGCAAAAGAAATGGCATTAGGATATAATAGTGATTCTCAGCCTTGGCCACACACTGGCACCCCAGTCTACTTCACAAAGTCTGGGACCCCAGGCATCTGTAGCTTCCAAAGTTTCCCTGGTGTTTCCAATGTGCAGACAAGGTTGGGAAAAGCTGGCAGAGGGAGGGAGAGCTCACTCATTATATTTCAGCCTCTAAAGAAGAGCAATTTGGAAGACAACTATCTGGCTGACTGATTGGAAGAGATCTGTATTTGTGCCCATTCCAAAGAGACGTGACCCAACGGAATGAGAAAATCATCGGACAATCTCTTTGATATCCCATGCAAGTAGTTTTACTAAAGGTAATACAGAAACGGCTACAATCATACATTGACAGAGAACTTCCGGAGGTTCAAGCTGGATTCAGAAGAGGCCGTGGAACAAGAGATATCATTGCTGATGTCCGATGGATCTTGGATGAAAGCATAGAATATCAGAAAGATGTTTACCTGTGCTTTATTGACTATAAAAAAGGCTTTCGATTGTGTGGATCATGACAAGCTATG